TTACCTAGAAAGGTTTTTTAATGAGGCAACATTGCACTAAACAGCTCATTTTGGTTATTTCTGTTATCTGTTGGCTTTGGAGTTTGGAGTTTGATATCTCTGTTGGACTGTGAATGTATCGGACATTTGGACTTTGATTCTGTATTTGTATGATTCTGTGAATGAAATGAAAGTATGAAACTGTGAATGTATTGGACATTTTGACATTGATTCTGTGAATGCAAGGGTAATAGAGCGTAGGCTGGCACAGCCCGTAATTCTAGTCGTGCTTAGCGGGCCGGCACGGCACGAAAAACGGCCCATAGTGCCGTGCCTGGGCCGAAGGTCAGGCCCGTAGCCCTAAGAGGCACGGCTCGGGAGGCCCGGCATGCCGTGCCGGCCCGACCCCTATCGGACCGTGCTTTCACGGGTCCGTGCCGTATCGTGCCGGGCCGGCCCGTTGGCCTTCTATAGGATCGACCGACCTCATGTCGATCTCTTGGGATATGATGAATGAATATGGTCCATGCATCAGTCGCCCACCGAGACGGTTGAGGGCTTTAACTCCGTGGCGCATTCATCTGGCTCCCCGCCGCGACGCTGACAGGTATAGTCGGCGTCAGGAGGCCTAGCTGATGACGAAGCAGGGACGACACAGTCGGTGTCAGCGAGGCCGACGGGGCATTCGCATTCAACGCAGGGCACGCAGTCGCTGCGCTCTAAACCCTGGGATGGGATAGAGTATGTCAGCTGGGCATGCATGCATCATCGCTGTTTGGTCGCGATCTGGCCTGGCGTGCATTCTGGCTTCTCTCCAAAACTATACGCAGTTCATCTGTTCATGGATTTGCTGCATTCCCGTAGTTAAACTCTGAGGCCTTGTTTAGCTGAGGGTTACAAATCAGTATTTGGTACTGTAGTATTTTCGTTTGTATTTGATAATTATTGTCCAATCATGATCTAACTAGACTTAAAAGATTCGTTTCGTAATTTACAATCAAACTGTATAATTAGTTATTTTTTTATCTATATTTAATACTCCATATATGTCTCTAAAGATTTGATGTGATGGAGAAAGTGTGAAAAAACCTACGATCTAAACAAGGCCTGAACAGCGGTAGAATTGAAGCTGTTTATAGAGACAGGGCCCTCGAGTTGGGTATGGAATACGGAGTAATAATAAATAGCCATGAATAGCTCCATGGGTGTCTGATAGACTGATACACTACAAGTACGACGACAGCATTCTTGCTTTCAGCCCCCCCCCCTCCGCCCACTCTCGTTTTGTTTCTCCTGTCACCCTCGCTCTGCAAAATGCCTTCTGCCCTCTAGCCTATAGAGGGAGGAGCAGCTAGTAGAGCTGAGACAAACGGAGTGCAGACGAGTAGCACGTACTAGCCAGTACTCCTACCGTCGTGTAAGCGCGTGTTTAGTTCAAAAACACTTCCAAAAAAGTGCTATACTACCTGTCATAACGAATCTTACGATATGTGCATGAAACAGTAAATATAGACAAAAAAAAACTAATTGCACAGTTTGGTTAAAAATCACGAGACGAACGTTTTGAGCCTAATTAATCCATGATTGAACACTATTTACCAAATAAAAACGAAAACACTACAGTACCCAAATTCCAACTTTCCCTCCAACTAAACAAAGCCTAAACTTGGCATTCACACCATCTAGCTAGTCACTCGCTCCTGAGTAGTAGTCCTCGGCCTTGTTTAGATTGCAAATTTTTGCAATCCGGACACTGTAGCATATTTTATTTGTATTTGACAAACTTTATCTGATCATGGACTAACTAGGCTTAAAAGATTTGTCTCGTGATTTACAATCAAACTGTGTAATTAGTTTTTTTTTACCTACATTTAATGCTCCATACATACGTCCAAAAATTGATGTAATGAAGAGAGAGTGAAAAAACTTGGAATTTTGAGACAATCTAAACAAGTCCCTGATCAGCTTTTCTTCGCAGCGGCAATTGGCATTGCTGCTGACTAGCCAAGCCCTGCTGCAGTATCTGCAACAGCATGCATTCACCAGCACAGTGGCCACTACTTTCGTGCGGCCAGCGTACAGCTAGCTAGCCAAGCAGCTATGGCTATTTTTGCTTGGAGCATAGCTGCATTTTTTAGCGCCAAGACTGTTGTTTCGAATCGAGTTGGATCCTAGAGCTAGAGCTAAATAATGTTCTGGGGCGGTTTGCCGGCTTAGCTTGTGTTGTGGATCAGAATCATAACAAACCCGGTACAAGTCGATCGAGTGCCATGGCGTTGATGAGACTGTGCCTACATTTCTGGCCTTATTTAGATTGAGGTTAGGAATTAGTATTTGGTATCGAGTAGCACTTTCGTTTGTATTTGACAATTATTGTTTAATCATGGTCTAACTAGGCTCAAAAGATTCGTCTCGTAATTTACAATCAAACTGTATAATTAGTTATTTTTTTATATACATTTAATACTCCATGTATATGTCCAAAGATTTGATGTGATGGAGAGAGAGTGAAAAAACTTACAATCTAAACAAAGCATCTGTCCGTATTTTCTCAAAGCTGCTATGCATGGAAGCTATACGTACGCCTATTATTATACATATATATTTGGCCCGTGTCATCATACTCCTTTTTGGGTTTCATTCAGGCAAGGCCACGACACTGGTCAAGGTTTGACTTGGCTTTTATGAGTCTCTCTGGTGTCATGCATGCATGCATGCTACTCGTACCTACCTAGCTGCCCAATACGTTATATTTGTTTTCTACACTAGAGCCTGTTGGGCTTGCCTCTATTCGAGCTAAGTGCGTGGAACAGGAAAGTCCTGGCTGTTGACCACTTGACCTACTGCAATATTCAGCTCTAATTTTGCATATAGACATCATCTATATCGAGGATCTTCGGGCGATCAGTACTTCTGTATTGGAGCATGCTAAGTGCAAAAACATGGGGAAACAGATTCTCTCATGTTTTGGTATGCTACAAACCTTCTGAACTTCTATGCTCAACATTTATTTATATATAAATAAATCATCTCCATATCGAGTATATCTTCGTGCAAACAAAATGGACTAACTATGGTACATAAAGTGAAGATTTAATTTTGTCAGAGTAAATCAAATTAAATGCATGTGTTTGGTGTAAAAATTTACATGCCTAATAAAAAAATAATGTGAATGTGTTTAAAATTCTAGTATTTTGTTATCAATGTCAAGCTCCGTAGAATAACTTAGCTTTATATTATTTTCACTAGATTAAAGTCAAAGCTCCATATACAAGTACATCTAGAGACAAAGCAACTACATAACTCAAACACAAACATGGAGCAACATTCAAGTCGACTTTGTGAACTACATCAACAATTTAAACCAACAAGCACAAAATAAAGGACTCGTTTCTTTTACTATCATATTATAAAGGATGCTTGTATCTTGCACTTAATTTAGTCTTCATGTCCTCATCAAGTGGTTAATTTAGCATGTTGACATCTTTGCCTCAGTATTCATGACCTGCATATTATTAGTAAGTATGAAATCTTGTATAAAAGATGATGCTACAAAAACTCGTAAATAAACTACATCATTAGCACTTTTCATATAACAATTATGTTTTATTAGTACCAAAAGTTAAAACAATTTAACATTTACATGTATACATTGCTGTAATCTGTAATTTTTGCATGCTAGATATATAAATATTTTAGAGAACGTATGCCACACAAATTCTTCACATTTGAATACCAATGAATTCATTGGAATTATGATGTTAAGACATTGCCTATCAATTCACAAGATATTAAAGTCATTTACTTTTACTATAATAAAATATAGTATTTAATAAGAACCATGTAAATACAGTTTCCCATTTTGGTGAACCCAATATTATGACAATGTAGAGGGATTGGGATAATAATATTCAGAGCTATATGACAAATAAAGAATTATTATATTATATGTTTGATATTATATATAATTTATATACTACAATTCTTATATTAAATTACTTATCAAGTTATGATATTAAAATGTTGGTAGGTGCTTTCTTAGAGCATCTTAAATGTTATATTTCAATGCATGTTATGGCATGTAATATCAATCTTCTAAAATGTAATGGTCTTGAAGGCACAAATAGTTCAAACACTACTTTTCAATAAGTTTTTGAGATTTAATAATATTTATGAGTTGATTGATATAAGTTTTTAAGGACACACCTGAGAATATTCTTATTAGAGGCACATACTATAATATAACATTGTCCTGGTGTGCATGCATATGATATTTATGTTTACTATTCATATACTCAAATTAGGGAATATAATGTTTCTATACACACCATATTTATTTTAGTGTTATAATTGTTTGTGTGCAAATTGGTTATTTTGTGTGCTTTAATCTATTTTATACCTAGACTTGTACTTAATTATTTCAATTATATTTTTTGTTGAAACTAATAAGCTTTATCTCTACATACATTCATATGATAGTCATATATAGGTAATACAATTATGATTAGAACCAACAAAACGATTGTGGAGGAAAGGAACAAAGTCCAAACTCTGATTATCGCAGTCTCCACTCACCCTCTCATTTCTAAACAAACATGTTTGTAGATAGGCAACATCTAGGATTTGCATAGAGGCAGGTTAATCAAGATGAGCTTTCTAGGATCCCAATGCCAGGGTATTGAGACTCCGGTTTTAGCAAGGCAAGGGTATTACGAAATTAGCCATGAATAAGGTTATATATGATAAACAGATTAGTACCGTGCCCGTGCAACTTTATTTTTAATTAAATTAGTAAATTATAAACCATTTGGACAGACCAATATTTTGTAATCCTATGAAGCATGCATGCATCGTCTTGCTACAACAAAATATATATTGTCATGGATAATAATAACGATTATTAATTATTGCTAGTAGATAGTATATTGAAAGGGAAATAATACACAGAAATTACGGAAGAAAGATCCTCTATATGAATAGCAGCATAGAACCGAACCTGACAAAGATCAGACGACACTTGACTACTGCGTGGCAGTGGGCTGGTCATCCCCGCCGGTCGTGCTGGGCTTCAAGAACTGTCCACCGTTGATCTGCTGCCCAAGACCAGATACTATACCACCATGCCCCACGCCCATGGCCGACGAGTACGCGAAGCCGCCATAGCCTCCACCTCCGTTCATGCCCACCCTCGCAGCTCCACCTTCACCTTCACCTTCGTAGCTCCTGGCCAGCATCTGCACGGAGGCGAAGTTGTCTTGCTGCATGAAGGACCCAGCGCCAGTGATCGACGCCGCCGCCGTGGAGTGCTCGACATTGATAAAGTTTTGCGTGCAATTGGCCACTGCGTTGCCTACGAAATCTGCTGCCATCCCTGCTGCCGCACCATGGGATCCCACGGCCACAGAGGCCGCCGCGGCTTCAGCCGCCGCCGCCTACACCGAAAAATGCAGCGAGCGCGTACTTATTAGAACATGGACAGGTACAGGCCGACATGGTAACTGAGGTCGACACGTATAGACAGGAAGAGAGGTGTATGTATGTACGTGTGTATCACCTGGTACTTGGACAGCTCGTAGCTGGCGCGGGCGAGCTCCTGCTGGACGAGACGGAGGCGGTGCTGGAGGATGGAGATGACGCCGACGCAGCCGTAGACGGGGTCGCGGAGGCGCATGTCCGCTTCGTAGGCGAGCGAATTGACGGCGTCCTCGCGCTGGTAGGGGTGGAGCTCGTTGAGGATCTTGGTCACGTTGCTGGCGCCGAAGACGCGGTGCACGTGCACGAACTTCTGCGGGTTGTCCGGCGGGAAGTAGGGCGCGAACACGCAGTCCGGTTGGCACTTGCGCCGCAGGAACTTGCACGCCGCGCACGGCGACCCTGTGCCTGTGCCTGTGCCGCCGCCGCCGCCGCCGCCTGTGATACCGGCAGAGATCGAGCCGCCACCACCACCACCACCCGTGGGCGGCGGCGAGGCCACAGTGATCACGGATCCCGTGGAGATGACCGGCACCGATGATGCTGACGAGGCGGCCATCTATCTATCTCTCTACGGGAGGAGGAAGATCCAGGACTAATTAAGAGATCCATATCTCAGCGTGCCCAATAGATAGATGAGAAGAAAAAAAAAACTAAGAGCGAGAAATGGCAGAATGAGAAGTATATCATCAAGCATTCAATTCGGATCCGACGCTGCCGCCTATGGGCGAGGAGTGAGAGGAAGGTATATGTACCTTTAATTTTCTTTCCCTTCCGCGAAGATCAGAGTAGGATGCGACGCCGGCGGCCGCTCCGGTTCTTCAACCCCTAGCTCCGAGGCTAGCTCCGAGAGTATATCCTTTGCTCCTCGGCCCTAGCCTTCGTCTTCGACGACTCCCACAGCTTCCTCCTAGTTTCAACAGACTTTTTGCTTTTTTCCTCGTCTGTCTCACCTCCGCTGCTGATTAATCGGGTGTTTGTTTTGGAGAGAGAATGGATGGATATATGAAATGAAAGTGACGACTGGCGACACCGTGAGGCGTTTGTTATTGTGTCGTATATGTGAGCGGGAGCAGGGGACATTGTGTAGGTAGGTGCCCTAAAAAAACGTGTCCAGGTGAGCCTGACTGTTTGTGCATGAGGCTGGTAGGTGTTTGGTTCCACGGACTAAATTTTAGTCCCTATCATATCAGATGTTTGAACATTAATTTGGAGTATTAAATATAGATTAATTATAAAACTAACTGCACAGATTGAGACTAATTTACGAGACGAATCTATTAAGCCTAATTAGTCCATATGATTTGACAATGTGTGCTACCGTAAATATGTGCTAATGATTGATTAATTAATAAATTAGTCTCTGTATGTGTAATTAGTTTTATAATTAACTCATGTTTAGTCCTTCTAATTAGTCTCTGAACGTCCGATATGACAGGAACTAAACTTTAGTCTATAGAACCAAACACCCCTTTAGATAATTGTAACAAAGAAAATAGAAGTCTATTTTGTTACAAGAAATTACTAAATTCGTTCTAATTTATAATTCGTTTGACTTTTTTTTACCACAAGTTCGACCACTCATCTTATTTAAAAATTTATGCAAAATATCACTTCTTTGATTGTGGCTTGCTTTATTAGCAAAAGTTTTTCAAGAATAACTTAAATTTGGCTATGTTTGTATAAATTTTTTGAATAAGATGAGTGGTCAAATTTGGGATAAAAAAAGTCAAACGAATTATAATTTAGAACGAAGGGAGAAGTAGTTATATTAATGCGGATGGTCTCAGTTCATTTGTTATTTTATTTCCACTTTTGCAAACGCGAGAGCTTCGGGTCCTGGTAAACAAGTCAATGTTTACGTGTGCACGTGAAATGCTGAGACGTGGAGCCAAAAGAATGCATCGTTTCCGATGGTAGAGCTCTCTTCTCTATCCCTATGGTCTTATTACCTAAGCAAGTTGATCAATACAAACAGTATGAGTCATTTATACGTGAAACTAACTTTTGCAGATAGTTTTTTATTTGATTGATTGTAAATAGTCTCTTTCTGTGTGCTCTTATTATATTATATTATCATATCTATTAGTACGAACTCTATAACTATCATCGACTAATTAAGTAGCTTAAAGTTAGTGTTGTCTACCTCTCCTCGTGTTCCGCCCTCAAGCGGTTATCTTGCCAAAGTTGAGTTAAATACTTGTATAGCTCATCAATTGGATCAAACACTAGGTTCACTCATGAACAAGACATACCACCACTAGAAACAATCAATCATAGAAACAATAGTGGTAAGTATGTGAACTTCAAATTCATCTGATTTTCAATGAATGAACTATTTAGTCACTTATGTGTCTATATGCACTAATCACATTGTTGAAAGAATTTGTCGGTACAGAAAGTGACCAACTAGCGAATATTTGTAGTTTTGCTGTACGTTGTGATCGGATGTGGCCTAGCACTCAATGACACATGATTTATACTGGTTCAGGCAACGTGCCCTACATCCAGTTTGAGTCGGTCGGTGACTTTATTCCTAAGCCCAGGTGCTCGAAGTCTGCAGTGGGGTTACAAACGAGAAGGAGAAAGATGAGGGGTACCAGAGGCCCGGTCGGCTCCGGTCGGAAGGGCCGAGAGCGACGGGAACTCTGCTATAAGCTAAGTGTTCAAACATATGCTTGAGGTCCGAACCTGGCGGTTCTGTGGTTGTGAGCTATTGGACTAATGAATCTAAAGGAACTGAGCTTGAATGAATCGGTCCTCCGTTGGAGGGAGTGCATCCCCTTTTATAGATGAAGGGGATGACTTTACAGGTGAGAGGGAGAGGGTACGGATGCTTTTAAGCCTTGTTGCCCACGCCGATGAGGATTAGATAATGGTAGGCGCCCACAACACTGTTGATGTCACTGTAGAATGTCAGGTGCACGTGGGAGGTTGCGTTGTCTTCTTCAGGAAGGGTTGACGTCGGTACCTGCAAAATACTGCTAGATGCCTAAAGGCATGTGAGAGTCTCACCACGTTTACCGGGTATGGTGAATCCCGACGCCTACAACACTATTGATGCCCAGAGGCATGTGAGGGGCTTTTTGCCGTATGGGAGTCCAACGGCCCCCGCAATACTGTAGGGATAAATGTCAGTGCCTACAATACTGTTTATGTCAGGGTGGTTGTGGAGCATTGTTCCTGCAGGTGTACAGGGTATGGTCCCTGTACCGTGGTTTGACTCACGTGCTGCTTTCTCTGTTCGTCCCTGTTCCCTTCCGAGCGGCCGTCCCCGGTCGGATGGCCCCAGTCGGCTTCGGTTGCGCCAGTCGGAGAATAGCGGTGAGCAGGGTAATTACGTACCCCGGTCGGAGAGACACGGGGTTGGAGTCGGAAGTAGGGCTCGGGGCAGGCCGTCCAAAGGCGGTTGGAGCCCGAAGCGAGCGCTCCGGTCGGATAGATGGGCCGAAGTAGTTGATGAGCGGGCGTTGCTCATCTTGGGCCAGACCTTCCGTCGATTGCTGGACCGCGCCTTTTGCCCTGTTGTTTTTTAGACCCTCGGGTCGAGCCTTGGCGTGGAAGCCGGTCCCCGAGAGACCCCGGGTTTATGAACACGATAGGAGCCCCCGAGCCCCTAGGCGATTCGAGCGAGTAATCGTCGAGGGATTTTTGTCTTCTATCGGCGGGTGTCTGTGGCGCACCAGTGAGTGTAGCCCCGAGCTCCCCGGCGTTGGGCGAGAATCGGTGGGGGTTTTTTTCCTGTGTTGCCGGGGAGGGTTTTTTTCGTTGTTCATGGTGGTCTGCGAGCGCACTCCGTGGTGTAGCTTCCCGAGCCCTCAGGCGGTTCGGGTAGAACCGTCTGGGGGGTGTTGTTTTAGCGGGCGTGTGTGCATGTTTTTAGTCTGAGACGGATTTTTGTTTAACCAAGGCGTCGTTGTGCAGCCGAGGCATTTTAGGCGCGGGGATTGGATTGAGACAGAACTTACTGATCCCGGCATCGATGCGCGCCGTGGATCGGGTTAGAAAGTTAGTTCGGACGTGAGAGAGCTCACTGATCCTGGCGTCGATGCGCACCGTGGGATCGGGTGAGGGAGTTAGTTTGGGACAAACCCTAGCGTCGGTGCCGGTGCGCGCCGTGGATGGAGACAGTTTAGTTCGGATGCGACAGAGCTCACTGATCTTTGGCGTCGATGCACGCCATGGGATCGGGCGAGGTGGAGTCACGAGCGGACCTAGGCGTCGGTGCGCGCCGTGGATCGAGGGAGTTAGTTTAGTTAGTTTAGGAATAAGTCGAGCCAGAGCTCATGGATCCTAACGACGCGAGTTCGGGGTCACGGTCCCAGGAGTCTGGAGCGCAGTCAGAAGCATAGCCGTTTGACGCGAGTTTGGGGCACGGTCGGTGCGCGCCGCGGATGGAGACAGTTTAGTTCGGATGCGACAGAGCTCACTGATCTTTGGCGTCGATGCACGCCATGAGATCGGGCGAGGTGGAGTCACGAGCGGACCTAGGCGTCGGTGCGCGCCGTGGATCGAGAGTGTTAGTTTAGGAATAAGTCGAGCCGGAGCTCGTGGATCCTAACGACGCAAGTTCGGGGTCGCGGTCCCAGGAGTCTGGAGCGTAGTCGGAAGTGAAGCCGTTTGATGCGAGTTCGGGGTCACGGTCCCAAGAGTCTGGAGTGCAGTCAGAAATGAAGCCATTTGACGTGAGTTCGGGGTCGCGGTCCCAGGAGTCTGGAGCGCAGTCGGAAGTGAAGCCATTTGACGCGAGTTCAGGGTCGCGGTCCTAGGAGTCTAGAGCGCAGTCGGAAGTGTAGCCGGATGGAGCCAAAGTGTAGTTAGTTAGTTAAAGATTGGATGAGGCAGTGCTCGCAGATCCCGGCGTCGGTGCGTGCCGCGGGACCGGGCGAGTCGGGGTCATGGATCTGGCGAGTTCGGGGTCGCTGTCCTTGGCGTTTGTCTTGAGCCCCCGAGCCCTATCGGGCCTTCATGGGGGTCGATGTGAGTTGTGTGCGTTACCCCATCCTCGGTTCCTCACAACCGGAGGGGCTAAGTTTCATCGCTTGTCCCGATCGCTCGGGCTCGAAGACTAGCTCGGTGAGTTCACTAACGGGTGTGATCGAGCGGAATCCAGGTCCATCGTTCAGGACGGGGTCGGTATAGCCCTCTTGTGACATTCCACTACTCCTTTACCTACAACCCGGCAGATGCCTAGGTCATTCAGGAGACCGACCCGGGTGGCCTAACGGTCTCCCCTAGATGGAGATTCTGTGGGCCTGGCGAGAGATTTAGGATCGAACAAGAAGGTTGAGATGACTCGGTCTATCGGACCGGGCGAGGGCCGCACGGTGCTCATCTACGGTTTTCTCCTCTGGCTCTGTTATTTGCTCATGTCGAATGAGGCAACCGCCGCTTCGTGACGCAACACGGAGCGTTCTGATGCATTTCGCTGCACGTGCGATGTTTAGTTCCTGAGCCCCCGGGTGGTTCAGGGCCCGAATCATCTGGGAGGCACGGGTGTATGGAATGAAATGCGTGTATGGATGTATGAAATGATTTATAATGAAATAGAGGGGGTTT